CCTACGATGTGGGTCATGTCTGCCTACCCTCGGGCCGAAGGACGGAGGGGGGAGGCGAGGGGGCCGGTGTCCAGGGTATCTTCCTTTCCCTCCCTTTCGGACGGGTTCAAACGCCGCTTATGAAACCGTCTGAGCCGAGTGCGTGGACAGGAGTGGGGAGCAATACAATCTGCAAATATTCCACACACACACAAAAATCAGTTTTAAAATACTTGAATAATTTTCTTGCCAACTTTCACCGGTCGCTCTCCTTCTGCCTCGCACGTTGTGTCAGAATTCTAGCGGCGGGCCGCAGATCAGGACAGATCTGGGCCACCGCAGCAGGACAGACCTGGACCTCCCGCGCCTCGCCTCCACATTACAATTAGCGCCCTTGATCAAGGCGAAGTCCCGTCCGACGTAATTGGGTAATTGGCGGGGGTCTGGAGCCGCTTGGCGGGGGTCTGGTGGGCGTCGCGACGCGGCGGCCGCGGCCAGGCAGGCCCTGCACGAGCTGCTGGAGCCAGCTCAACCGGGCGCTGCCGCAGGGAAGTACCGCCGCGCGCGCGCGCGCGCAAGCAAGCAACTAAACCATATACGCAATGCTTAATTGCATCTCTGAATAGCTGCAAGTTCCATCTTACGTTCAGCAAGGATTAGGAACACTAGGTTTCATAAAGTCCACCAACGTCCTCTTGTAGAAAAACAACAACTCAGTGACTCCGTTTTAACGGCGGCGTCGTCACATATTTTTTTGCTTCGACTTCTCGAGATGGGCTTTTTAAACCCACTCGTCTCGCATCGTGCAGCAGTGCAGGCGGGCCAGCCGCTTCTTTGACTTGTCGCGCCGCGCCCGCAGGGCCTGGCCTGCAATGCAATGCCCCTCTTCGACCCCCCCCCCCTTTCCTTTCCCGCTCCCACTCGACGTAAACAAAGCAGTGTGCTCGGTCCAGCGCGGGCTTCTGCGACACTGCTGTGCCCACGTGCTCGCGGTGCCTTCCTGGAGGGGTTGGACTCACCTGCTAGGTGTTCCTGGACGCCCAGCTGCAGCGGGGCCTCACATAGTCGAGGGCCAGCGTCGTGCTCCGCAGCGTCGTGCTCCGGCGGGAGCTCCCCGTCACGTCGCGTTTGGCGGCGCGCGCGGTTCAGTTCGGCGCGGCGCTGGCGCGGCGCGGGGCGCGGGCCGACACGGACGCGGCGGGTCGAAAACTGAGCGGCCGGGGCCGGGCGCGGGCGGTGGGCGCTGTGGGCCCTGCGGCCTGGGGCGGCGGCGGGGCGGGCTGGGGCGGAGCAGCGCGGAGCACGGCTCTCCTCTCCAGGCAACAGCGCCCCGGCCCGGTCCGGCCATGCCTCCCCGCTGCTACAGCCCGGCGCCAGTAACCTGCGGTGGCGCCACGGGGGTGGGGGTGCGCAGCGCGGCGCGGAGCAGCGCAGCCCCGGCACAGGTTAGGCGTCGCGGGGCGTCCAGGACCACCCCGCGGCGGCTGCGGGGGATGCGCGCGCACGCGCCCTGCCGTCGCGTCGCCCCGCCAGGACAAAAGCACGTTGCCGTCGTGGCTATATGGCTTGGCGCGGTCTGTTCTTTGGTGTGTGTTAAGACTTTTGTGATGTGGTCGTAGTGGCCAAAATCCTACCATTGTACCGGTAGCCGGGGATATAGGGGTTTAACATAATGAAATCAAAAGAACGAAAACCAAAATTGAAGTTCGCATGTATATATTAGTAGACAATATATCATTGTGCTCATTTATCAAAGATAAATGAGCCACTCAATTTTCAAAAAAAGGTTTCATGCGGACAGCTATGTAAAGTAGCGATGGATATGACATTACAGTATGTACAAAAGTAAAGTACAGTTATATTACAGGTGTTGTGGGACAAACATCAAGAACCAGTGAACTGCACTCTGAGCACATTCTGAAACACACATCCTCATTTTATACAACTTGAGCCTTAAAAATGATAAAAGAAAATAATAAAATTTGAAACCAAAATTGTAACTGTGCAAGTAGACATTGACATTGGATTTTGATGAAACAATGCCAATGAACTTGCTCCACAACCAACTATCATGTCATTTCATACACTGTCTTTATTTTTAGGGTATTTAATTATTTTCCTAACATGAAAACATTATAACATCAGGACAGAAAAACCTTGTGGAATAACACGGAATATGCCTCTATGCGTAACTCTTGAATGTTGCTATGTTACAAACTAAACAGTATATACAAAACATACATCGTCATATATATT